TGGAAACAGTGGGACAGGATTGTCACTTGTGGCAGCAGCCTGTGGGTGGACTGGATTAAGTCTATCAAGACACTGTACCCCAGACCAAAGCTTTTTTTATTCCCTATACACAGCTGAAATTGGCACTGCTAAGGGCATTGCACTGTCATTTCCTCTCATCTTGACAAATGCGATTTCTTATCCATTTGAAAAACTGCAACAATCATTTTCCGTGTTCGTTGCCTGTCACACCACTTAATCCTTCCTGCTATTACCTTGCCCTACACTCATCTACTGTCTCTTCTTCTTTAAGCTCAAACCTGTAACCAGTTTTCTGTCAATCTACTCTCATTAAAACATTAACCTCTCACAGAGATTAGCCATTGCTTCCATCCTTAATTCCCTGGTTGTTGTGGGTGTTTCTGAACAAACAGTTTTGGGCCTTTCTTTGATGCTGCCACTGTTGGTTCAGCAAGCTCCTGGTGATCATTCCTAAAGCTGCTACGTTATCTTTCAGACTTCAGTGGTCATGCTCACTTGACTGAAGCCATTGTCTAGTGTGCTGATCAGCATTGATTTAGTTTCCATAAGTTGTTCAATGTAGGATTTTTAGTGGCTTTTGGGGGGGGGGAAATAGTTTTTTTTTAAGTATCACTGGGTACAATGCGGTTCTGTTCTATGAGTGGGCTAAAACATATTATACTAGTGCAAATAAAACTCTGCATCAGACATCCTAAGAGGAGTTCTTGTCTGCATTTAACTTAAAACTGTAACTATGTTCCTCCTCAAAGTTTGAAGGACTAAGTTAAGCAACTTTGAGAAGTAAGATTCATTTCTATTTCCTTCCAAATGTTAGATTCCACTGTGTTTCTCTTTTCAGTTATGCCAATGTCAAGAAGTGCAGCAATGAAGGACGAGCCTTGATGCAACTGGACTTTCAACAATTCTTAATGAAACTAGAAAAGTTAACAGACATTAGGCCTATTCCAGATAAAGAATTTGTGGAGACCTACATTAAAGCATACTACCTTACAGAAAATGACATGGAACGCTGGATAAAAGAACATAGGGTAAGACTTAAATTTGTATTCTTCACTATCTATTGGAAAAACTCACCGTGATGATAGAATCATGCTAACAACTATAAATGATCAATGCTTCTCTGTGTTAAAAATGAATGTATTCATGTACTTGTATACATTCATTTATTATAACAAAATCTGTATGGGAAGCAGTATAAATATAAATGTGTGTGTGCATGTATATGTTCATTATATTTATTATCATATGAAGTTAGTATGTGTTTGTCCTGATTCAACATCTGATGACTGGGAAGGATGAATAAGCCAGTCACATCTACCTACTGTATCAAACAATGTAGAGAGCTAGAGCAAAGTGAAGTTGAAAACACGTGTGCTGTTTGGAATATGCCAAAGTGCACAACTTGATCATCAAGAAGTAAAGTTTGAAATCACACTGTGAAGTTTTACTTTGCCTTTAGAAGTAGGTTGCTTAAACTAAGTTGTAAGGCACAATGGGTAAGGCATTGCTTTTTCTTCATTCATTTAATAATACTGAATCAAGATCAACATTGCTCTGCAAGGTAGGTCTTCATTTGTATTTTGAAAGCATTTAGCGTGGTTTCATGATGGCATAATCTAATAATTATAACAAGACTGTGTATGTAATGATCACGTGCTATTGGAGCTGCCTGTTGTTGAAATGAAAAGTCTTTTAAAATGGAGCACTTTGAAATTACTTTAAGTCCACTAGAAGTGAATGAAAGAAATACATCTTTAGTATCTTTTTCCTTCTTTTACCTGGAGCCACAAGAGAGATTGTGAGCTGTCGTTTGGTGACCTACATGGAAAAAAGTTTAAAGCTACTATTTTGGTTAGTGTTAGGTATAAAGTACTACTGGCAAATGTGGTGTTTTCACAGGTGTTAAGAATTCTTGTCTTAATGTTTTTGCCATTTTTTCCTCCTTTATCATGTACTGAAATTAACATTGTTTGTAGACCCTGTAGACAGAAGTATTTAGAAGCTTACTGGAAATGAAAAGTCAAAATAAAAATGATCCATCAACTTTTGTCACAGTTTGTTTAGAAAAATGTTTTTGTGTTAAAAGCTTATCCCATTTGCATATATATTTCCCACCACACCTCCCAAAGAATGGAAAATATGTTAAAAATTGATTTATATACATATGTATTCACAGAATTACTTTCTGCGAACTCAGTCCAACACTTCTAAAGTTGTAAGCATTTTCCATTATAATCTGCCATGTAGCAAAATACAGTTTTGTCCTCTGCCTCAACTATGAAAACTATCCAGACCTGACTTAACTACCACTTCAAATCTCCCTTGTGTACTGACTGCTTCTATCAGTTGAGAAGTCCACAGTGTGTGTGTCTTCTGTTTTCTGGTTTTCTGTCTTTGTCCTGTGTTTTATTCTGCCATAACATGATCTGCTTTTATTTGTCAGGAATATTCCACTAAGCAGTTGACCAATCTGGTGAATGTTTGTCTGGGCTCCCACATCAACAAAAAGGCAAGACAGAAGCTGCTAGCTGCTATTGATGATGTAGACAGGCCTAAAAGATAACTGGAGAAAGTCACTACTTTCGTTGTGACTTGTACCTTTCATGTGAAGCATGCAGACAAATCTCTCCTGGACTAATGACAACATTCTCTTAAAAAACATTGTGCATGACCTTTCTTACCAGCATTGGGGACACTCTGAAGTGGCATAATGTTCTAAAATATGACTTTTCTAATCTGTAGAGTTCTTTTCTGTTGTATTTCTTGGGGGGTTTGTTTTTATTTTGGGGGTTTTTTTGCTACTTGCCCTTAGTAAAGGGACATTGTTTGTGTATCATTGGTGAGCTGTATATTTTGCAAAACTGTATACTGTAAGTAAAACAAAAATCAGAGAGAAACACATTGGCTTAATATATAGTTGATGCCCTTTTTTAATGAAAGGGCTACTTGAAAATATTATTTCTTTCATCCCTGCTTTCACCCTCTGAAATTGTGCTTTATTATGGACCAGTGTAAATTGAAAGGAAATGTATAGTATTTGATTGATGTATCTTGCATGTGGATTAAGAGTGCAGATCAACTAAGTACTCTCATATTAAAGCCTCTCATCTTCATACGCATTTAAAAATGTCTGTTTATTTCAGAATTAATTTAGTCATATCAAAATGATTGACTTCAGATTAATAGAAGGTAATAAATACTATACACTAATACGATTTCTTTGTGAGACTTTCTTTTCCTAATTCAACAATGCAAAATGTCATTTACAATAGAAATTAGTACTGCTCCTCTCATATCACTTTTCTTTTGTCCCTCTGCCAGTCTTCCCTGTTCCCAAAGCAATAATGCCAGAGAATAGGAATAATTTTTTTTTTTTTTTTTTTTTTTGGCTGAAGTTTTGGATTGATACTAAAGTAATCTTACTATTTCCTTCTCTGCTGTAGACACCGTGAATGATCCTGAGCAAAGCAAAATTGCTTGGCTCTGTATTTGTCCTAGGAATCAATTTATTGGAGCATCACTGACTCCACTGAAGTTTTCAGGTTTACCTTTGATTTTCAGTACGTAAAGTTTTAGATTTTTTTTTTTTTAATTACATAATAAACTTTTTGCAGTGCTTTCAGACTTAAAAAATATACATGCTAGCATTGAGCTAATAGGAAAAATAATTTACATTAGCTACAGTCCACTAATATATACAACAAACATGGGAGAATCAGGACTTACTGAAGGACAGCAGTGCCTAGTTGACAGAAAATCACTCTGTGAAATTATAATTACTCTTTTTTGTAGCTTTATTTCCTCTTCAGAGGTGGACTGAGCATCATTGTATGAGTTCAGTGAAAGCTTGTATACAGTTTTAGAAGAATGATAGGGTTTACATTGTAAATATTGATTGTGTGGTATTCAGCTCCCTTGTTCATCAGTATTTTAAAGGAAATAAGATTTAAACCAAAATTTAACTCCATTCTTTTTTGTCTGTGCTGTCATGCTGAGTTCCATTTAAAATTTGTTTAGTGGCCTGTCAATGTATATGCTGAAGCTGAATCACTTTTACCCTCATTAAAAAGGTGGTTCAAAACAAGAAAAGTGTAGTTCATCTTGAAAGTGTGGACTCTTGCGTCAGTGTATCTGCCCCGAAGTCAGATTCTGAACAAGAGCACTCAGGAGAAATAGAAACATGTCAGAGACTATTAGTGTAAAATCTGTTTCAGTTTTCTTCTTATGGATGAAGTAAGAAATTTAAATATCTTTACCAGAGCTGTAGTGAGCTGAACTCATGGTTAATTTCTCCTGAACTGCTTAGGTTGCTTTAATTTGCTTGCTTACCAAAAAGATAGGAGTATAAGCACTGAATACAATGCAGGGTCAAGGAAGAAGGTGAGCAATTACGTGAATTGTAGTCAGGAGTAACTTTTTGTAGTGTGTCTATAGTTTGACTTGTTATTTTTAAGAAAGTCCCAAAATCAAAGAATGTGTAAGATACAGTGTTAAACCTGTGCAACAAGTGTTTGATCTTCATTGATCTTCATATGCCTCAGAAATGTTTATGTTTTCCACAGAAACATCCCCTTGCTGCCCAGGATTGATGCTAAGGGAGAAACTACATAGCTTAATGGCCTATGTATGCTCTTAGATTCATGATTTAACCTTCAGATTGCCCTGAGTCAGGAGCTGGACTAGATGATCCTCAATGGGTCCCTTCCAACTCAGGGTATTTTATATTACTTTGTTCTGAGTGACTAATGAAGCCAAGTTTTGGCTGAATGTTGAATGATTAACTTACTAAGGATCTGTTTGGTAGTTTCCATCCTCTGGTATGAGATTTCTTTACAAACCATTGATTTTTTTTATTTTTTTTTTTACCATCTCTGTACATCTTCATTCTCCAGTGGAATAAGAAGCCTCTTATAATGCTTTTTCTGCAATAGAGAATATGGCTTAAATATCCTTTATATTTTAGAGGAGTGTTTTGGAATACTCTAATAATAGAAGATTATTTCCTTCCTGAGTAGCTAGATTTCTAGGTAACTGACTTGTGGATTCTGTTAATCCTACATGGGAGAGAGTCTTCCCATGTGTAAAATAAAAGCTTGGCTTGCTTCTGATCTGCAGTGGGAAAAACTAGGCCCTGGACAGATCTGCTTAACAAACCCCAGATGTGGGGTGTAGGTTATAGCTTATGAACACCACTGCAAGAAGAGCTTGCCTTCTTTTGTCCCTGAGGCCTTAGGGGGAAAAAAAGGAACGAGTGATCGATGGCTATCTCAAAGCTGTCTCTGAAAGGTTTGCACCACCTTGTAATTTTCACAGATGTGAGTGACAAAGGCATGTATCGTGATACCGAATGCAAAGCTGTGGTTATGGGTTGTGCTCTTGACTTGTCCTTTTGACACAGATGATGTAAAATTATAAAGATCCCCTCCTCTCACTATGCAAGTGATAGATTTGGGGTCTTTCCCCTTTAAGACCTTGCTTATGGTTAGTGTTTATGAAATTTCTGTATTGCAAGTTGTACTTTGGTAACTCAAACTTTGTTTAAAAACATGTTTACAAACAAACAAAAAACCAAACCCCTCAAAAACACACAAGAAAACCCTCCCCTCTGGTTAAATTGATAAATAGTGCTGTCTCTTACCAAAATCCTCAAAAGGCCAAATGTCAGCAGACACCTGCTATATTGTAAATGATACAAACAGAGATGGACAAGAAAATGCAGATTTATTGTGTGTGGGTGATGGTATCTATTTTATTTATAACCACTGCTTGGAACAGCATGGCATAAAGGCTAAACATTGCATCACACACTAGGATTATGGTGCAAGTATGGAAATAAAGCAGTTTGCAAGCAGCAAAGTTTCTGTGCTTGTTGGCTATTTAAGGATATTTGAGAGTGTGTTGTTTTTGCAGTGCCAGAGCTGGTTTTCATCACAACAGTGACTTGATTTTTAAGGATCTCCTGCTCTTATGTGAGATCCCGAAGTGTGATGTGGAGCAGCATCTTCAAACTATACAAAAGACTTCATAAATTTGTGTTGTTGGGGTTTTTTGAGGTTTTTTTGTTGGGTTTTTTTTAGATAGGTATTAAATCAGTAACACGCCATATGATGAAGTATATGCCTGAGAAACGAATGAGGAGATGATTAACCTCTCTTCTTGTGTGATGAATCCATTGCTCAGTTTCATTTTGGTGGAGTATTCTGTCCAGTCACAGAGTTTTTACATGTACAAGCTAAACTAAAAATAGTTGGATGTGAACTGAACTTGAATCTACTTGACTGGCCTGTTAAAGAAAGTCCCCCCCAGTACCCCTCAGCTCTGCTGGATCAGTCTGAAACTTTTGATCTGGTTATATATGTGAAAGAAAAACAACTTTCAGAGCAGAGTTGTATAGATATATGTGTTACATGGTACATTATCTTACATAGATTTTAATATAGTCAGATTTAAAACTGGCAAACAATTGTCTAGACGTACTGATCTTTGAAAAACAAAATGTATGAGCAAGCTGAAGATCTAGGAGAAGAGATGCATGTGGGAGTGTGCTGAGGAGGAGATCCAACCCAGCTCAAAACACTATAAACACCCGATTGGACATTGGTGGTGGTGCATGATGCTGCTGCCCTACAGCAGAGGTGGTGGGTAGCCATGCTTGCTGTCCTGACTGCCCAGGGGAATACCTGCTCCAAATGCACGAAACTTGTGGATCAGAGGACGGGTGGGATCAGACTGAAAGGCGGGGGTATGCCAGCAGTGTGAACACATGGCTCACTGGTGTGATAGTTTAACTAGCAAAAACCAGGACATCTTGAAACCTGAAACCTCAATGAATGTGGGAATTGTTGTTGCCTGGTGCAGTTATTAGCACAGTACTAATCACCCGTGAGTTTTCAGGACCATTTATTTCTGGAAGTGTAGGAAAATGTCATTGATGTAAATGAGCTTGACCAGGGGCTGCTTCCTAGCCCTGAGCTACCAACATCTGTCTCCTCCAGAGCAGTTAGAATATTTAAGCAGCCAAATGCTCCAAGCAGCTGAGCGTTCATGGGTGGTTTATAACATGCTATATTTCAGCTAGACAAAATTGTTGCTATGAATAGTGATGTCTCAAAGCTGTAATGCCATTAGCCCTTCCTTCCCGCCTTGCAACACAGCCCAGCGTTGTGCTGATGTCTCTGCTGTTTGACAGGACACTTGATTCTGAGCATTTGCAGAGCATTTATGCTGGGAAGGAGAGGTCTCTATTTTTAGTGAGCTATTTACTGCTGCTTTCAATGGCTCAAAATCTGTGTGGTAAGATGCAGGGCTCTGGGTGATGTGTGATCTTGCCTGTGTGCACAAAGAGAGTTTGTGGCTGGCCTGGCTCAGGAGGAAGGAGCGCCCTGTGGGTGGCACCTTTGGTGACACTTTGGAGATGCTGCATACTACAATGGCCAGGTCACGGACCTGTCCTGAGCTTTGATTTAGGTTCTGCTCTGTTTAGGACCTAGATCTAAGAACAACATAGGTGAAGGACTGTGTTTGGCTAATCTCTGTTGGCTTGTATATAATCACAGCACTCATCCCTTCTTCCCACCTTCCTTTCCAGGGTGGCTCAGGACCCTGACGCAGGTGTGCCTAATCACCTGGTGGAGCCCCCTCTCTCCCCTACTGCAGGGGTCTGAAGAGGCTCACCTCCAAGCCCACGCCACGTGGTGTGAGCACCTTCTGCTGAGATAGTCACATTTAGCACCTGTGTGAGTGGAGGTGGAGACATCCCTGGAGTGGGGAGCAGAATCCAGCCCTGTGACTGCCAAGGGGATGAACTGTGGCTTCATGGGACCTTTTTGACCATCTGCATTGTGCCACCCATTGTGGCTGTGGTGGGCTTTCAAGGAGAGGGCTGGAAGTGATGGAGGTGGCTGGCCACAGCGGGGATTGCAGGGCACTGGGCAAAAAAGCAGGCTGGGTGATGGACTCAGACCAGAGGAGACCTGGCTGCTGAGAGGAAGACACCTTCTAGTTTTACTTCCTTTCCCATGCTGTTGAAGCAGGGGAGGAGCCTGACGAACTGCACAGGGGGCTGCCACTCCGTCCTGGAGTCACAAGCTCTCTGCCACAGTGTCCTGGGGGACATCCCTCCTAATGAAATCACCATCCAGTCTCTGCTGCCTGGCTTTTTTATTGCCAGAGT